GGGATTTTATTACAAGCTCATACATACTATAACGCGTAAAGACTTTTCCCCCAACCTATATTCTATATTATATCGCACGTAACTTTGATGTATGAACGAAGCGCCTCTCAAATATTCATATCATCAATAATGATCTTACAGAATAACACAGATATATTGTTGCGAACAAATCAACCGAAACATGATAGCATTTTGACATTCCATACATACTTAACGCCTGTTTACTGTTTCCCAAGGGGTGGGTACAGATAAAGGATCCCCGTTGCTACGAGTTAAACACACATCTTTTGATGGGAGCGTGAGTTGCACCAAAATACTTTAACTTTAAATGTTCAGTCGAAGTAACGGTTCCGGTTAAGTAAAATATGGACTGCTCCATTTGACGTAAGTCAAAATGAGTTCATAATTCGACAGTGATAATTGTCTGACCAACCGGGCCCAGTGAAAGTTAAAACAAAATTTAACTTTAACAGTCTGCGGTGCAATTCCCTTTTAATGTTCATTCATGTTTAGTTTATTCATGGTGTACAATTCAATATAATAGGTTGGGGGAAAAGTCTTTTGGCATTATAGTATATACATATATATGAACTTGTAATAAAATCTCTTTGGCTTTACCATTTGGACGGGCTGGTTTTGGTATCATTAAAAAGTTAAAAGTTTAAAGAAGATAATTCAAAATTTAAATTAGAAAAATGTGCGAATTTCATTTGTTTTCTTGCCATCTACATAGATGAGTGAATCTAATGAATAAATTCGATACATTTTAAAATTTTACTACAAAAAAAATTAAAATTAACGCAAGCCACGAAAAAAAACTTTGATGTTTATGTACCTAGTGCAGTGTCTGTGAGAGTAGCACAAATTTGGTTTAAGCGTTTTCAATCCGGAGATTTTGATGTCAAAGATGCACGTCGCTCTAGTCGCCCTGTTACGGATAAAATGGATGTAATTTTTTTAAAAGTGGAGCAAGATCGAGAATTTAGTAGTTACGAAGTAGCTGAAGAACTGGGAATTGACTACAAAACAGTTTTGGCGCATTTGAAAAAAGCTGGGTACACAAAAAAGCTCCATATTTGGGTGCCTCGCGAGCTCACTGAAAGAAACCTGAACCGTGTACTCATTTGTGATTCTTTATTACGACGTAATGAAACCGAACCATTTTTGAAAAAGTTGATAACTGGTGATGAAAAATGGATCACGTACGACAAGAACGTGCGAAAAAGGTCGTGGTCAAAGGCCGGTCAGGCTTCAAAGACTCTGGTGAAACCCGGGTTAACTCGCAACAAGGTTATGCTGTGTGTATGGTGGGATTGGAAGAAAGAAGGATTTGTAAAAAAAATCATGACATGACCCAGCTATGATGACTTTAGCATGTCATTTTCTTATTTAGTCTTTGAGCACAGTGTTCATTTTTACATGACCGTTAAAAATAAGAATGTATTCAAGGTTAATGTTTTATATAATTCATTTGTTTTAGACACCAACACTTTCATCATATCACCCGCAAGACGCCCGCTGCTGAGCATAGGCCTCCCCTAAGGATCTCCACATCGATCGGTCCTGCGCCACTCACATGCATCAGCTTCCTGCGACCTTCACTTGATCGTCGGTCAACCTCCACAGCGCTCAGTGGGTGGGTCACCCACCTGGTAAACCTAGGAGGTTTAAGACAATAGAGCAAGATGGAAAGGAGGAGTCATAGTGACATAATACTATTCAAATCATTCTGTCCTTTTCTGTCATTTTTTGCGAGGGGATTATGCGCAGTTAGTATACGCGTATAAAACAAACCGGTAACTACGACACTCACACATAAACAATGACACATCACATCGCCAAATCCTGCACACATGTATCTTTTGTAAGCTCAACTCGACAGAAGTGAAAGCTGTGTATGCTACTCCCCTCCAAGCCATGACGGCCTTGTTGCTCTATGTTTTAGAAAAATACGAAAATTATTTCACCCTACCAACAAAATCGGGGTAATGATTACGTTTATTAGAGAAAAAAATACCGACTATAATTTGCAATCGAAGCAGTTAAAATAAAAGTTACATGCGGCATGCAAGAGTCCTTTAGAACTAAATTACTGCGGCGTGGCTACTTCAGTTTGTAAATTATGCTGGTAATAAGAAGTTTCTCGACTTCCTTTTGTATTGAGTACAATGTTTCTTTAAAAAGAGTTATTGTTTGAAAAACAATGCAGAGGCAAATAGCTTTAGATTCATGTTATTGCTCAACCTTTTTTATGTTTTAAAGCTCCACCATTTCTTTGTATTTTTGACAATTATTTAATATCTATTACTGGTGGCTTCAGCAGTCATTGTGACAATTATCAGTGTAATGGAGTAATAGCCTGCACAGACAAGGGACTATAGTCCGCGGAGGACTTTTGTCCGCCGTAATAGATCGCTTACAACTACATCGAGGAACACACACGACAGATTAAAAATACCGCGGACAAAAAGTCCCCCGAACTACCGCGATCACCGAGGGACCGGAAAGGACATAAGTACGCGAGAGGCCGCAAAAAAATTGAACATATGTAAACAAGAGGCGAAAACGCACACAGCGGACTTTAGCCTGCGGTGCGCGTTCAATAGTGATGTACGGGGTAAAGAAGTGGGAAAAAGAACCCCTTTATATGATACGTCAAAAAAAGAGTATCACTACCGAAAGGATAATAGTGAAATCTTCTTGAAGGAATTCTTTAGTGTCAATCGATTTCATCATCAGAAATGCAAATTAAATAATCTTAGCGGATTTATCAAATAATTGAGGAGGTTGTTTAAGTCTGGATTTAGAAATTTACATTATGGTAACACAATTGAGTTGTTATTAAGTAATCGCATTATTTATTGTGGCTTAGCGTCATGTCTTCTGAGCCTAATATTTTAAGTGATTTCAGCGTTGACTTCGTGACAAGTCCTCGGCGGACAATTTTTTCATAATTAAGGGCTAAAGTCCTCCTCGGACTAAAGTCCGTCATCTGCGCAGGCTATAATGCATATTCATCTAGTGTCTGAAATTGGAGCTATTGAGCTCGGAAGTGAGATTTCATTTTACAAAATCGCCCCTCTGATCAGGAATTTAGAACTTAAAATAAATAAAGAAACGCACATACTTATTTATATACTTGTACAAAAATTCAGAAATGAAATTTCAAAACATTACACTCTTTGTAAAACATCACACCTCAGCAACGCCACATGTACACAACATGTTTAAAGCTAAAATTTACTATAAATATTGTAATAATGATGAAAACGATAATGATATGGTGCCATCCCATCGCCTACGGGTTTTCGGACAATGATAATAATTTGAACTGTTTGTTTAAATTACTTATTAATGATACAATACTTTGTCATATCTTAAGTGACATCAAGCTAGTAGTTATGGTACACTACACCGTGTTACACAGTGTACTAGCAGCCAATTTGATTCCTAACCCACTATAATCTTATTTTCTTACAACCATTAGAAAACATTAAGGTTGACTCTCGCTTAAAAGTACGTGTCCCTGGAAACATAGTTGCTGATTTCAGAAGTATCATAATTGACGAGATAGATTTTGCCTCCTGTGTCCTTCCTGTGACATAATGTTGACATTACATTATTTGTAGTTTTACCCATAGACTCGGGATCATAAGGAACTATGATTAACAGACTTCTTAGTTTGAGCTGTATGTATGTATGAATGTTTGTATGTCCCTGATTTTCTCACAAACTACTGATCCGATATGGATAAGGTTTTCAGTAAAATGCGTATTTATCAGGGAATGTTTTAGTACATAATATATTAGCAGTGTTCCACGGTTTCATTCGCTTAGATGGATTGGAAGTGCACGCGATTCTTGAAAGATCTTCCTACCGACCTACGCCTGTAATATTTCCAACCAGTAGTGTATTCTGTATTACACCAATAATGGCAAAATAAAATATTTTTTATTAAAAAATAGAACCGACATAATAAAAATTCAAATGAGAAAATAAGATTTACCGACTAATACTTTTGTAGCCGATACCATTATCAAGATCTCCCATGCTAAACACAAGGCTTGGTATCGACTTTAAATATATCAGTCGGTAAATCATATTTTGCTATCAAAAGGTTTCATATTATCAAGAAATCGAAAGAGTTTCTGTTACATATTAACGCTGTTGAAAGTTACTTTATTTTGAATTTATAAATATGATTCGAATTTATCTCAAAGATGATCAACTTACTACATTGACAACAAACGTCAAATTTCAAAGATATTCGATCAACATTAATAAAGGTTTCCTGTTATTAGAAGGTCCGGAGTGAAATTACGCATTCTTTAAGGAAGAAATCCTGTCTGCTTTGACATTTTTGAGCAAATTATGCGGCCAAATACAATGGCAACAATGGACTGTTTGTATGTTTTTGTTTTACTGTTCTACTGTATTATTATTGAGCCAGTAGGAGTCTGCCTAAAATATATACCTAGTACCTATCTTATTTTGCGAAAGGTATAAAATTTATAGTAATAATGGAAACTAAAGAGTTCATCATCTTAACCTGAAAGAATATATTTCTTATTTTAGTACTTTTATGAAAAATCCATTTACCTATTCACCGTGCTGTGTATTATATCAAAGTCGTGATTTACATTTATTTAATTATGGTATTTCTTTTTTTTACTTCAATTTATCTACAGAAGCAATTTTAAATATCGCGTACCTATCATAAGGTTTAATTATTTATAAAAAAAATAGCGGCCGCTCGCGACTTTATCTGCGTCAAGTTAGTTTTTTAAGAATCTCAAATGAATCTTATCTGTCTGTCGCAATTTAGGTCATAAACTATATGCGTTCAAATTTCATCCAAATCCGTTCAATAGTTTTTGCGTGATTGAGTAACAACATAAAAAATTAAGAAACTTTCATATTTAAACTATTAAGTAGGACTACAAGTTCTGCGTGTGTAAATTAAAAATAAATTAGTTCAAATATCACTCTTAGGTACTCACCTGTCGATCTTTGAACATGAGAAGAATCACCATCAAATTGAGGAAGAATCCAAAGAATCCAATGAGGAACAACACGAAAGCGGACACCACGTAGCCCCACTTGGGCATAAGGAGCGGAAACTCCTCATCGTAGGCCCGTACGACCGTGTCGTTAAAACTATCCGTATAAGAAGTCATTTTCGACACACAGCACTCACAACACTCGCAATACGTCCCTCACTAGAATGAAACAGAACTCTTCACTGCACTCGCACATCGTGGACGTAACTGTATCCGAGACCTGTAATAAAAGAAAAACGGCTTGAAGTAAGAATTAAAATCATTGCTTTTCAGGCAACATTCTCGATAGAATACTAGAATGATTATGTACAAAGTATTGACTAATATACGATGTACTTGAGCTTTCCTTCTAGAAAATAAGATAAATATAATTTTGCATTCCCAATAACACTTGAAAGTCTTGTCAGTGCCGCGACTTCGTCTGGGTGATTCAATTGATTTCCCATAAAAACTTTCACCCCTTCCAGAGTGATTTCTGGGATTTTATCCCATAAGTCACTATTCTGTGTCCTTTCCCGGGACGCAAACTTTATCTATACAAATTCCATCTAAATCGGGTCAACAGTTTATGTGTGAAGAGATAACAGACATAGACAGACACACTTTCGCATTAATAATATTAGTATGGATGTTATTATTAATCTATATTAATTGATCCGGCTCGAAGGACCAGATGAATGGTTTTTACTTCTACCTCAAGAACCATGTCCTTATTTGTTTTATTAACAAATGATAAGTATTTATTAAACAAAATTAAGATTTCTATTGATACGGTCTATATATGACTAGTTTCAGTCAAAGTAGATAGTTAAGATGTATTCAGCTAAGTTACACATAACTAGCTAGTTATGTTCGTACTACCAGTTATGATTATACAATATTGGGAAGTAATATTGCTTGCAACTATTCCATTGTAATTTATCACAAGGAATATGCAAATAGACTCACAAAACCAATATTACCAGAATTTCAACCGCTACTTGACACCCAATAATTTATTTACATCAAGAATCAACTTGAAATGTCTAGGCTAGTCTAACATTTACCTCCACAAAGGTCAATCGTTTGTCAGTGTGAAACAATTCGACGTGATTGCTTATTATTCGATAATAGTATACCATTAATAGCATCGTTGTAACATCCCCTTGAAAGAATAATGAAATCAAATGTTGTATGTATTTTTAATGACAGTATTATTGTGACGAAGAAGATAGTGTTTTATAACTGAGAATAAAACTTGGCAGATCTCATGTCGAGTGCTCTAGAAAATATAATAGAATCGTGCAAACGGGATATTTTCATTGTACTTCAGTCTTTCTTTGGTTGGTTTGCTTTTTATTTTTATATTTTTGGTACATATGTAATGTAAACATACTATTTATGATTACTGGTGCTACAAATTTGAATATGTGTTTATTTATTTTATTAATACCGCTTAAGGAGCACTGCAATTCTAATGTATTTTCAATCTTAAATTTGCTAAAGTAAAAATGACGATTCGTGAATTTGTCATAAGTGAGGGGCTGGCGAACAAAACGGTTTAATTACAAAAAAAATTACATTAGCTGTATAAACTGAATGACATACCTCCAGTGAGCTTTTAGCATGGTTTTTAATTTATAAATTTATTATTTTGAACGGTTTTGATTGAAAAATATTTGAATTGAATTTCAAATATTTTTATTCAACGGGCCCGAAACCTCCAGACTGTAAAGAAATTATACGGTTTTGATCGCCAGCTCCTCAAGTTATTGAAAGTTGAAAAATTGTTAAATGCCCGAAAGAAGCGTGTTTAGAACAATAAAAACTTCGTTTCAATTGAAAACACATTTTTTTGCAGCAATACACACTTTCATATCGATCAAAGTAGCCTTGCCTATCGACATTTTTATTGTAGTAATTCATCATTTAATAACGAGTTTTATCCATCAAGATAATGCTACTAATAAATGTTATTCAGTATAAGTATTTGTTTTCGTAATCATTTAATCGCCTTAATGGACTTTTGGGAGCAATTCATCGATAGGTATATTGCTGTTTCGTGACCACAATCTCTATAGCTTTTTATCTAGATTTATTAATATTCATTAATATCATTTGCCATAAAACGTCATTAATAATTGTTTGATGTCTATGACAGTAACAAAGTGATTTGTTTTTATAGTATGAAATCCAATTAATTTCCCTGGTCATTCGTCCGTCCTTCGATAAGAGGGCTGCAGGTATCCCATGAACCGTAATTGATTGACAGTTGCAATTACCACAGTGTGTCTTTGTTTTGCCGTTATTTATAATGATAAAGAAAACTAATCAAAAGAGGCTCATACATGAAACGATTCTTTCTTGTTTTATATTTTACAAGTGTATCAATCAATCGTGCCACGCGCAGTGTAGGGTTCGTTCGAGTCGTTAACACAATATGTTTGAGTAGATTATTTTCTATATCGGAAATTAAAAAAAAAACAATAAATATCAAACTATATATCTCAACTAAAATAGGTACCTAAATCATAATCAAACTGCGTCACAAACTCAAAATCAATTCGATATTATTTTTTTAAATACGAATGATAACCGCCGATCATATCAAGTGCTTTATAAAAACGTAACGATAGCGTATTCAGAATTTTCAGAAGCCGTTGCCGTTGGTACTCGCGGTGGTTTTGTGAAACGAATTATATTTTATGGTGGTTTTTAAATAGTTTTTTTTTTAATTTTGTTTTCCAATACAAGGTTTTAAGCAAAAGACAAGAAATTTTCTTTAACTAAAGTTTAACGAGTCTATTGTACTAACAAATCAATGTTAACGGTTATAATTTTCTTCAAAAGTTCATGAAAAGCCCTATAATCATGATTTTTCAGGTTTTTAGGGGGGATGTTTCTTATTTAGTTACAAATAAAATAAATGGAAGCGGTGAGTTGAGAGTAGGGCAATTCGGATTCGGGCAGAGAAACCAGAGAGGGCAGAAGTTGGCTGATTTTTTGAAGAAGGAAAATCTCTACATGATGAATTCATTCTTCAAAAAGTCGCAACAAACGAAATAGACCTGGATAAGCCCTAATGGTTTGACACGGAACGAGATAGACTTTATCTTGTCAGACAAACGGCAAATATTCAATGTTGTCTCAACGATCAACTGGGCGAAAATCGGGAGCGAACACCGAATGTTACGAGGCGCATTGAATATTCGTGTCAAAGCCGAACGGCGGGACCGTTCGATCGTTCGACCGTTCGATTCGGACTGATGAAGTCTACTCTACGTCCCACACCTGCCGAGTTCGAAAACTCCAAGAGCTTTCAACTCGAACTTCAAAATCGCTTCCAATGCCTAGACGATTGCGAAACGGCGAACGATATGAGCAGCAAGTTTGTGGAAACACGGTTGGGTCGAAATTTTTCAGGACCCGCCGTTCTCCTAGAACCGGAAAACTCTCTGACCACACTCTTGAGCTCATGGAACGGAGGAGAGAAATGACAATGCAGTCTCCAGCCTCCTGGTCTAAGATGAGGCAGCTAAATAGACAGATCTCGAAGTCTATGCGACGAGATATTCGCCTCTACAATACCAAGTGTATTAAAGAGGCGATAGAGCGGAACCAAGGCTCCAAAGTGTTCGCAAAAGATCTGTCTGTTGGGCAGACTCAGTTAACCAGACTGAAGACCGACAACGGCACTGTCATTTCTTCCAAAGATGAGATCTTGAGTGAGGTCGAGCTGTTCTATGGACAGTTGTACAAAACATCCCAAACTCCTGTTGTCCGCTTGGTCCAAGATCCACGATCCAAGCTAACCCGACACTATACCGAGGACATCCCGGATGTCAGCCTGTACGAGATCAGAATAGCTCTCAAGCAGCTTAAAAACAGTAAAGCACCGGGCGATGACGGAATCACTACGGAGCTTCTGAAGGCGGGCGGTAAGCCGGTCCTCGTGGCCCTTCAGAAGCCATTCGACTCTGTCATCCTCGGGGGCATTGTTCCAGAGGCGTGGACCAGGAGCGTGGTGGTGTTGTTCTTCAAGAAAGGCGATAAAACCCGCTTGAAGAACTATCGACCTATCTCGCTCTTGAGCCAAGACTATAAGTTGTTTTCGAGAGTCATTACAAATCGACTTTCGCGCAGGTTCGACGACTTCCAGCCTCCCGAACTGTGATGAAAGAATGATCTAAGTTAAAGGAAAGACGAAACTTAGTGTTTGACTACATTAAGCCTCGATGACATGGGGCGAGTTCACTAGCAGCTTGTATACTCGCCCCGTGTTATCGAGGCTTTAGGATAAAAATGGTTTTCTATCGCTGCAACCGTAAGCGCTACTCATGTTTCTAAGATTGGAGTGATTTATTTTGATCTCTTCTAGATCTCTTCGATTTTGTATTACGATTCTTTTTTGCTTTTGGCTTTGTCAAAATATTTCTTAGAATCTCTTATTATTCTGCTTACGACTCTGTTATACGTATAACAATAATTTAATTCTACTGTTTAATAAAAAGCTGTCTTATATTGTTCATTATCTATCTTCGTCTACTTAGTAACCACAAATTAGACCACATCTCGTACCATGAAACTGATACTTACAATCCACAGGGTTATCAAAGAGCTTATATATTATAGTTCAATTAAAATCATGTTGCAATTCTAATTATATAATTCATTAACAAACTGATGCTTAGCTATAACATGTTTGTAGATTATTTTGAATTCAGCTTAATGATACAAATGAGTTGATTAAATATAATTTATTTCAAAATTACACTTTTGGTGACTATGGTAACTGAGTAGCTAATGAAATACCTTGAAAACCAATGAAGCCAAACCAAACATTTATGAGAGAAAACTATCAAAATTCTCTAGACATTTTTCATTATAATGAAAAAATAAATAAATTTCAGTTGTAAAGTTGTTAAAGGTAAAAAACAGGAAAACCAATATCGTGTACAAGAAAAAAAAATCAAAATCATTTTATTCTCCGACCATCGTAACAGTGAAAACCTTTGATTATTTTCTCTCTAGATAGAGTCTCACCTTGTAAACACTGCGATGAAAACCAACCAAGTTTTGTATATTTGTGTGCGTGACACGCAAAATGAAACACGCGAATTTTCTATCTTACACTCGCGAAAGCCATTATAATATAGAAATAAACAACAAGCTTAAGATTAAGCTTGAGTTAATATTATTTATATTTAAAATTAGACATATTATACAATACATGCCACAGTGACGTAAAACTTTTGTTTTACAATTTTGCTAACTTGATGACTTTGAAATATAATTTTAATGGTGTAACTTTTCGTACACTTAACTATTAAATAAAATCATCATTCATTTCATCACAATTACTATACTTTTTTTAACATATATTATTAATATGATGGATATAGTTTT